CACACACAAACACACACAAACACACACAAACACGCGCTCACTCACACACGTTCTGCTGGACATTAAAAAATGAAGTTCCTGGAAATGTGGCTGTCGTTGACCTAATGACTTTACCGGAGGCTTACTCGCCAGTGAGCTCTTCATTTGGTTGCTATTTATGGTGTGATGTACAAAGACTCGATGTGACTGGCACCCATTAAAATAAAACAACACACCACTGTGTAGAAACCAGTGCAAAATGTTTAACCATCAACATTTTATAGTTGATCAAACCAAAGCACAGATGTCACTCTTCTTTAACAGTGGAGGCGGAGCACACGGTGAATGTCATGGTGCTGCTTACCGTCTTGCCCTGCAGAGACTGTGGAGTGATAGTCTGAGATGGGATGCCAACTGCAATGGATCGTCGATCAGCTGTGTATCCGTACTAGAAGAGGACAGAGTTCATCACATTCACTTAAGGCAGTGTTCCTACTCTCTGTCACATATAGCTATGAGATATTTGCTCAGCTGTATGAAACCCCTGTAAACTGTACATGTTGACAAACGTCAGACGTGAGCTTTTCAGTTTTTCCAAAGGTTTTGGTCGCTCCTCTTTTCTCTTGTATATTTCTGAAATCAAAACATCTTTATATTCCTCCATATCAGAAGAAGCCAGCTGAAGTGGTTCAGGCATCTGACAAGGATGACTCCTGAGGGCCTCCTACGTGAGGTTTTCCAGGCATATCCCACTGGGAGGAAGCTCTGGGACACACCCATGACATGCTACAAAAATTACATCTCTTGGCTGGCTTGGGAATGTCTTGTTATTTCCCCAGAAGAGCTGGAGCTTCTCACCCTCTCTATCAAGCACATTTCATGACAAACACACATGCATTTTCTCCCGCTTTCCTTTTTCTTTCTGATTTTTTCCTCCTGCCTTTCAGCTTTCACAGCCCTGTTTATGTATCTCTCTGTCCGAGTCATACCGGTCATATGGTTTGTTAATGCTCCTGTAGTGCTGCTTATACCTACCATCTCTTCAGGAACACCCTAAAGCCAGTCCACGTTAATGCCAAGAATGGACCGAGCAAAACAGCTTCACTCTTCATGTACTTATTACTGTTTAAACCAAGTAGCCTCTGCTACAGTTTAGCAGCCACACCCCAGAGCATTGGATTTTGGTATACCTTTGTTTTGTATTGAACGTCCTGCATGATGAAAGCTTAATATTTAAATGAAATTCCTGTGCCATGACCGTTACCTTCGCAAGGTGTGTCCTGTGCCGGCGATCAAGAGTCACGTCCCCCCTCAATATGGGCGAAGAAACCTCAGAGTGGGAGCTACTATGATTTTGAGCAACCTGCTGACGAGAAGGGGAGAATGTGCTGTACAGAGCCAGAGAGCCATGAGATGGGGAAGTGGGAATGGAGTGCGCCACGGCATGTTGGGAGATGTTGCCCATGGTCTTAATGCTGGGCAGCGTGCCGTAATGACCCACACCTGGAAGCACAAACAACAACACAGGAGAACGTGTCACTGTTGGCTTACCAGAACATTTAACGCTTATACAACTGGAGCAGCTTATCCAGGGCAGACAGGATGCAGGGAGTCTACAGAGCTGCTCTTGGAAAAGCAAACATGTTTGGCACAACCATCATTCAGGCCATGATTGAAACTGCCCAACAGGACGTAAGGCATCACATCATCCAAGAGGTTCCTCTTTAAAGTTTTTTAGGGCCACTCATGTTTCTTAGCTAAAAAAATGCTCATCTGATTAAATGACATACATTTTGTTAAAGAAAAGAAATACTGTTTTAGACAACATGGACTTGTCAATAAGGCATCTCACAACCTCACAGTCACATCCTCTCTGACAGATGGTTACTGTCTGTCATGGTCTGCTGCAGCCCATCTGTGTCATGTGTTCTTTCTAACAAGTCTTATGGGAACAACAAGAAAAAGAAACATAGGGTACTAATATAGAAAAGGCATAGGTACCATTTATACAACTTCAGAAAAGAAATCGATGTTATTTGTAAAGGTGTACCTGCTGGCTGAGCCAGACTTTGCCTGGAGAAGGCCTGCCTCTGCTGCCACTCATAGAGCTGCCACATTGTGTCATCCCTCATTGATTTTCTCTTCTCTGTTGTGCTAACAGCAGACGTGCAGGCTGGATGGAGGGCCCGGTCATATACCGAGCCTGCCACACTGCAAATGCTTTCGGGCCTCATCATGCTGTTGCGGGGCAGCGTGCGGTACCCCTGAGGGTAGCGGGGTACAATCTGGGTACGGTGGCTGGGCATGTTTCTCGGTAAAGTCTGGTACGATGTAACACTGGAAAATAAGAAAAAAAATGCATATAGCTCTTTTAGTTTGTCCCTACTGCAGGGAAGGCTGGAGTGCTGGCCTTCACTCGGTATCTGGATTCAGTGTTTGGAGAGACGGCAAAAGAAGTCAGAGCTTCTGACATGTCTGAAATGTCAACTTCGTGACACCTGTTACTAAAGTGCTGGATGTACAGTAACATCTGTTCATCTGGACGTTTTCAGTGGGAGAAACATCAGGGCTGGACTGGGACAAAAAAATCAGCATTTTGACTAGTGACCGGCCCACCATGGTATTATAGGAAAAGCCATAAAGCCTTTATAATAAACTTAAACCTACACCATCCTCCCTATTCTGCTATTCTAAACAGTACTTAGAAAAAATATAAAACAACCTAATTTATAATTACATATACCTCACTAATAGGGTTGCCAACTCCCAGCAAAAAACAGAAAAGAAAAAAGTAGGGAACCACTCCCCCACCCTCGGCCTCAAGATGCTTAATTGACAAAACGTTTTTAATTTAATGCACTTATAAAGCAAATGCACAGAAATCTATTATTTTTCTCCAGTAATTAAATAGATTCAACATCTTTCTTCAGCAGAATTACAGACTGCACAGATGATACCTTCCCAAAGGAAAGGATACTATAACTTACTAGGATATATACTAGGCTTAATATTTACTGAATACAATAATGGATTTCTACACATTTTAATCAGATTAAAACTTTGGTTGTAAGATTCAGATAATTATTTGTTAAAAGCGAGACATTTTAAATGAGAATAAGAAAGAAAAGTATTTCTTTGTGCCCCCCTCTCCCTGTTAATGCCCTACCTGCCCCCCTGGCAACACTTTGCTAGATCCGCCCCTGCACAGTTACCAGCTGTCAGCTACTTAGAAAAGGATCCTGGTGTTATTCGTCTCTCAGAAACAGTTCATAACTTCAACTCATTCATGTCACCTAAAAGGTAAACCTGTTTCTCCATCACCTGTTCAGCTCTGATGATTCAGTAAGGACATCTCCTGGTTTCATCTTCATGTTTCCCTCTCACCACATATCCAAACCGACATCATGACCAGCAGCTTTACAGCTGTGGCTCCAGCAAACATCAGCTGATACTAGAAATTAATATTAAATCAATTCTAACAACAGCTGATCAAGCCTAAACGTGCTGCTGTTGTTTAGCCCGACCTCCGCTGGTTTCCTGTTTCTGGCGCAGAGAAAAGCCGATCAGCTGATCATTGATCAGTTTCATGATTGAATTAGCAACTTTCTAGCTGAAGTAGTACGGCACAAATCGTGTTCCTTTTCACCTCAACTTTAAAGTTCGACCTCCTCGGCTGTAATTGGTCCAGCCCAGAGTCGATCATGACCAACTGGCCAATCCACCACCTTTCATTTATACCATTAAAAAGAAAAGAAATAAAACCCCATCGGCCCATAAAAACGAAAAATGACGAGCAGCCCACCGGGCAAATGCCCGGCATGCCCGTAGGCCAGTCCAGCCCTGAGAAACGTTTCTTCATCATCAGGTGACGTCTTCAGTCCAGCTGACGGCAGGTTTCCAACCTTATAACCAGGACGACGACTCAAACCAGCAGCACTGATGAACAATGGGCTGGGAGGTCAGTTTATGATCATTAATATGCATGACCATTGATCAGCAACCACTGATCAATAACCATGAGTCCCATTCACAGAGAGTTGGGGAATGGCTGCAATCACAGCATTGTAAGGTGGTGACAGATGGACCCTTAGGCCCCTCCTCCATTCAGAGATGGTCTTTCCCTTTCCAGGTAAATGGCCTCCTCCTAATTCGAATTTACAAACAACTGTATGGTCCTTAAAAACAACTAAGGGAAACGCTGAAGAAGGTCAGGATGGAAGAATATGTCAGCACAATATGTGAGCGCACAGAAGGTTATCTAAACATTACTGTTCAGTCCTTAACTCGATAAATCCATTTAGGAAAACCTCCAAACTGAACACATGCACAACAGATCAATTTGATCCTGAATCCATCCCAGCACTATGACATGGTAGAAAGGAAGAAAGCTCTTCTGTACAACAAAACATTAAACAGTTAAACTAAACATAATGTCACCATTACAAGTCCAGCAGTTGGCGATCAACTGCTTTTGTATTCATGCTCTATCCTGTTATTGTATTTTCTCCTTTTTTACCTCCCGCCTGTCAGCTTAGACATAACTGTAATAATATAAATAAGACTGATAGAAATGAATACATAAACAGATAAAAATAACACGTGAACAACAGGAGCCTGTAGTGAATTTGTAGAGCTCATCTTGGAAAATTACTGATTACAATTCTGATTGCAAAAGCTGCCAGAAAAGACAGGCTAAACAAAACAAAAAAAGCAAGCAAAAACTTACAATCAGGGAACCATCTCTATATCTGCGTCTCTCTCCATCACCTAGCTTGGGAGTCATTGAGTGCTCAGATTACCACGGGGACCGCCATTACCTTCACCCTCCTCATCCTCTCGAGCTCTTCTCTGAGCTCTTGGTACTTCTCCAGCTTCTCGTGTTCCTTCTTCCTGATGTTGCTGTCATTGGGAACCGCTACATCGATCACTACGGCCGTCTTCTTCTGCTTCTCTACCACCACTATGTCCGGTTGGTTAGCCACCACCATTTTGTCCGTCTGTATCTGGAAGTCCCACAGGATCTTAGCTCGGTCATTCTCCACCACCCTCGGGGGCATCTCCCACTTTGACCTCGGGACTTCCAGGTTATACTCGCACAGATGTTCCTGTACACTATGCCGGCCACTTGGTTATGGCGTTCCATGTATGCCCTGCTGCTAGCATCTTGCACCCTGCTGTTATGTGCTGGATTGTCTCTGGGGCATCTTTACACAGCCTGGGGTCTTGCCTGCTGTGATGGACCCCTGAAACCCTCCATGCATCGTCAGGAGCTTTCTTGTCTTCATGTCAGTGGCTTCTATCTCCTCCTTTGGCCAACTTACTATCCCAGCAGGGTACCTGATCACAGGCAGGGTGTAGGTGTTGATAGATGGTTGCAGCTTTCCTAGTGGCCTCTTCATGGTTCCCATTTGTCTGTGGGATCCCCAAGTACTCTATGTCTGCAATGTTGCCTTCTGGTAGTTCAGAATCAGAATCAGAAAGGGTTTTATTGCCAAATGTTGAGCAGGTTTACAACATTAGGAAATTGCTGCGGTGTTTAGTGCAAACATGCTGTCATAAACGCTTAAATAGATATAAAAATAAAAATAAGAATAAGAATTAAAAGTGCTAAGTAGATTCAATCCCCTCAGTTCTGACTACCTTCCCTCTCTTTGTTACCATCCGACTACACTTCTCCAGTCCGAACGACATCCCGATGTCATTGCTGTATAGCCTGGTAGTGTGGATCAGTGAATCGATGTCTCGTTCACTCTTGGCATACAGCTCGATGTCATCCATGTACAGGAGGTGGCTCAAGATTGCTGCTTTCCGTAGTCGGTATCCGTAGCCAGTCTTGCTAATGATCTCACTGAGGGGGTTCAGGCCTATGCAGAACAGCAGTGGGGACAGAGCATCTTGGTAGATCCCGCACTTGATGGTGGGAAAAAGTCACTGGCCATTCACCGCATGACAAACACTAAGAGCTTTGATCTTTACGATCTAGAAATAACACTCCCAGTTCGACACAATCATTTAGTCCTTTGGAGCCCACAAAATGGAAAAATAGAAAAGTATATTCAGCAGTGAAGTGTGTTACACCTGGAATGTACAAAGATTAGCTTCTAAAATAAGTAGCTAGAAAGTGAGCTGCATCCACATCCCGTGTGAAGCTAATCTCTATGTTGAGGTTTGGTTCAATGCCTATACTTATGTTGTATTTTGAATGTTTTCCTCCCTCTTTGTTAAAGTTTTAAATGTACTGAATGAAAAGTTGCTTTGCTCACCTCTTTGGGTTATCGTCCATTCCTCTCCTTTGCGGGTGGACCCAGTGCTCCAGCTGCTGAATGGAGTTGGTCCTGGACAAACCCTTTTCTGGCTCCTGGACTGGAGCTGGAGACTTTACGGGAACCCTGGCCAGGTTGCCATCCACCTCTGTGGGGCTGCAGTCCCTTTGCTGCTCGCCTGTCCCACACCCTGAGCCACTGACCTGTGCAGGTTTCTGGGCGCTGATGTTGGCCTGGTTCTGGCGAGACGCAGACACCGCAGCTGCGATGGCGGCAGCCTGGGCTGGTTGTAGCTTGATGCTGTTGATTTTAGTCAGAGCCCTGTCGGTGCTCGGATCTCTCTGAAAGCCGTATTTATCACAAACCGTAGCACATTTCTCTGCGTCCCTCAGAGTCGCGTATTTATCCCCCTCTCGAAACGAGCTGTATCTCTTAATTTCTTTCATAGTGTTGTATTTGTCCATAACTTGTATAGTGCCATATTTATTATCCTTCTCCCTCATAGTGCTGAACCTTTCAGTTTCCTTTAATGACAGCTGTCTCTTGACCTCTTTTTGAGAGAGGCACTTTTTTCCATCTTTCTGGAGCGTGTGTCGGTCGCATACTTTCTGCAGCGCGTACTTTTCTCCGTCTTTTGCGAGCAGATACTTCTCCCCATCTTTGGAGGGTGCGTACTTTTCCTCAGCCGGCGTCACCGCGTGTTTATCATCCGTTTTACGGACGCCGCACTTCTCCAGATCTCTGTGAATGGTGTACACTTTTTCATCTTTCTGCAGCGAGTATTTCTCCCCATCCTTTCTCAGGAGGTACTTTTCTCCATCCTTGTGCAGGAGATACCTATCTCCATCCTTCTGCAGCATGTAGCTCACGCCCTCTTTCTTCAGAGAGTACCTTTCTCCCTCCCGCTGTAAGGTGTAGTACTCTTGCTCCCTCTGGTCATTGTGTTTCACAACATCTTTTTGCCATTTGTCGTCGACCTGCGACAGGGAATGTTGACACGCAGGTTCTCGATTGCGTTCGTTGTTCTGGATCTCGGGCCGTGTGAGGACTCTGTGGTTCAGCAGGTTGTTCAGCTCTTGAGGTCTCCGCTGGTCCCCTTTCAACTTGTCCGTTCTGTGACAGAAAAAACAGGAAGTGGAATTCAGCAAAATAAGGAAAGACATTTATTGTAACAATCAGAAGTTTCATATTTTTATCAAAAAAACCCTCTAATGATGCAAAACTGCAGGGAGTATGTGTTCAGTGGAGTTTCTTTAATTACTTAAAAGTATCCTTTATTTAGAGCAGAGCTTTAATGAAGCATCGCAATGAACAAATACAGAATAATACAGATTCGAGCATTGATGTGTCGTTTTTTTAAGGAGGTGGCACTACACAATGTTTTTTCTTTCATGATCACACAGAACATTTGAGCACTCAGATCAGAGATGAGACAGAGATGAGCCCCCACCCACTAATCTGGAAGATCTCTAAAGGCGAGCTGTGTTATTTGGCACCAAGACACTGGCAGAAGCTTAAGTCCAGAAGTCCTGAAGACTTGGAACTGCTGCAGATCACATCCTGTCATCAGTTTGTCATTTGTTCCTCCTCAGACCACCATCAGCAGCTACCCATCACTTCAACTTGGGAGAACCCCACAAGCCTGCTGCTTAGATCTTCAGGTCCAGCATATTTATAGATGCTCGTTTCTTCAACATCTAAAACTGTGACTGGAAAACCTGATCCTTCAATTACAAACGAATACTGCATGTACATGTAATACTGTTGATCCACAGAATCTGTGAGGGTCTCATTCGCCGAGCACTCACGAATAGTGAAAAAACACAAATTTTGGATGTGGTCAAAAAATGTCTATAAATGCCAGTTTTTATCGTTTAAACCCTGAATATGCATTTGGGTGCCATCAAAACACAAGAACACGCAACAAAATACTCAAGATAAACTTTTCCAATGTGGGAATGCTGGACTCCACCTGCCAAAGATGCAATAAGGAGAGATGAATGAAACAACCCGCCTCAGACTACAGCAGCGTTTCCTCATTTTCCTCTATGGTTCCTTTGTGATCGCTCTACAGTCCTAAAAATGTGTATAGTACTAATTTTAATATGGAAATTTTGCTGAATTTACAGGAGAGGCCCCGGGGCAGACCCAGGACACGCTGGAGAGATTATATCTCTCGGCTGGCCTGGGAACGCCTCGGTGTTCCCCCAGATAAGCTGGAGGAGGGGAGGAGGAGGTCTGGGCTTCTCTGCTGCCCCCACGACCCGGCCCCGGATAAAGTGGAAGAAGATGGATGGATGGATGGATGCTGAATTTATGTTCGTGCTTATTTTGTGAATTTTAAATGAATTAAAACTTACAATTATTTATATTTTAAATTTATAATTTATTTAATTATTTAAGAATTTCTTTGCTCTTATTAATTAAGCATTAAAATGCCTGAAAAGTTATATATTGCTACAAAAAAGCCATAAAAATTATGACAGATATTTGCAGTTTCTGCCAAATTGTGGGAATTTAATTATAAGGAAAAATCCACCAACTCTGAACCGCGACTTTGAGCGAGTATACTGTGTTACATTACAATATTATTTATATCAACACAGAGTGGTTAGTCATATGTTGGATCATCATTATGTTAGGGATTAATGTAACTATATGGCACAATAACAACAACTACTTGATGGGTTTGGCTTACACGGACCACAGTAAGTGTCAATAAATTATAATCTGTTTAGTGTAACTGAACCTTACCAGTAAGCACACGTATTGGGTAGTCTAAGGAGCTTGGAAACAAAAGCGTCTGGACTTCTTCGAGTTGCTTGAAGATGTTTCACCTCCGAGAAGCTTCTTCAGTTCGAGGGTCAGATGGTGGAGAGTCCCAGATTTAAACCCAGTGGGAGTTTCCCCCCACAGAGGGACAAAGGACCCCCTGATGATCCTCTACCTAATCACATGAGCCAAGGTGTGTAGAGGGTGTGGGTCACAATCAGCCAGGGTTTCGGGTGAGCTCATTGTGAAACCTGGCTCCACCCTATCATGTGATTTCCTGAGGTCAGTGGAGCGACCATCTTTGAACAGAGGCGGTGGTTTACGACACCAACTGTCTGCCATCTATAATCCAGTTTTGAGATCCCTTCTCAGACGCCCACTCACATCCTGGACCATCTGACCTCAGGAAATCACATGATAGGGTGGGGCCAGGTTTCACACCTTGGCTCATGTGATTAGGTAGAGGATCATCAGGGGGTCCTTCGTCCCTCTGTGGGGGGAAACTCCCACTGGGTTTAAATCTGGGACTCTCCACCATTTGACCTTAGAACTGAAGAAGCTTCTTGGATGAGAGGTGAAACGTCTTCAAGTAACTCAAAGAAGTCCAGACGCTTTTCTTTCCAAGCTCCTCAGACTACGATGAGCTGGATGACTGAGAACCTTCACAGACATGTATTGGGTAGTTTACCTAATCAGTAAGTACTTGAGGAAAATTACCCAAGTGTGATGGTTCCCAGCTATAACACACAGTCCCGAGTGTCACACCTGAGCAGCATACAGCGTTACTCTAAGACACTGAAGCTCAGTCAGAGCTTAGACTGATTACTGCATCTTTGCTGCCATGTCAGTTGTTATCTAATGGATCTTCTACTATTGTTTTGAACAGGAAAAACATCTCAAAGTCAATATGTGACGCTGAGTACCCAGCCACACGGGGTCACAGGCCAGTGCATTCCTAGTGCCGGTCCAGGTAAATGAGGAGGGTTTTATTAGGAAGGGGATCCGATGGAAATTTTGGCCAAATCAAACATGCGGATCACAAAGAATGAGCTTTCCATACCGGATCGTTCGGGGCCTGGGTTAACAACGACCACCTCCAGTGTTGTTGGCTAACAGGATGCTGGTGGAAACTGTGCTAATGTTGGCCGAAGACAAAGGAAGAGGAAAGGAGGAAGGTGTGTTCGGTGGCAACAAGACAGAAGGAGAGGCAGGAGTGAGGAGGTGAGATTAGGGACCATAGGGACTATGACTGGCTGATTAGAAGGAAAGAAGGAAGGTAGATATATGTGTCTACAGGAGAACATGGGCATTGGAGGTGGGTTCAGGTTTTTCTACCATGGCGTAGACAAAGAAATAGTGTACGGCTGATCTTGACTAATGTTGTAATGGTAAAGAGAGTGTCGGACAACATCATGAGTTGTGTTTGAAGCTGGAAATTGGATGATTTATACCCCACAGCTGTCGGCTGGCAGAGATAAAGGGGTAGAGTGTGTCCCCCGAGGAAGAGGGAAACGTAATTTGAGCAGATTTCAGTGGACATGTAGCTGAAGGGAACAGGTGATGTTAGGCAAGTATGCTGCTAAAGACAGAAATACAGAAGGACACATAATAGTAGATTTTAGCATGGAAAGAAGAGGAAGAGAGGAAGGTGCACAGATGGACTACATCATATACACGAGGTGCAATTTGAAAGAGAGAGGAGACTGCAAGCCTGCAGCAGGGGAGAACGTAGCCAGCCAGCTTCGGGTGAAAGCAGTGGTGGAAGTAGACTGTTGGACAGAGTTCAGGAAGACGTTGAGACAGGCACTGGGGGGTAAGGAAAAGTTACCAGATGACTGGCAACATTGTAGTGCTAAGGGAAACTAGCAAGAAGTTGTTCAGTGTATCCTCTGGACCGAGGACAGAAGAAAAGTGTCACGATCCTGGGTCTTCTGACCCAGCGTTTTGAGTTTTAGTTTGTGTTTAAGCCCTTCAGGTTTTCTAACTTCATTTTTTATCATGCCTAGGTTGTTATAGTGCTTTGTTATTAGATTCCCCTTGTGTCTTCCACCCATGTTAAGTCTCCTTTGCCCTTCATGTGCTTCATGTCTGTGTCTTACGTTGTCTAGTTCAGTTTGTCATGTTTGCGTCTTATGTTTCCTGTTTTATTTTGAAGAGGTCCGGTGTTCCTGTGTTAATCGTGTTTAGTTTTACTCTTCCACTGTGTTCCCACTTCTCTCATTAGCCTCCTGTGTGTATTTAGTCTGTGCCTTCTCATTCAGTCCTGCGTTCAGGTTTTCATATATATATACATATATATACATATATACATATATATATATACACATATATATATACATATACACATATATACATATACACATATACACACATATACACATATACACATATATACACATATATATACATATATACATATTAGGGGTGCAACGATATTCGTATCGATATTGAACCGTTCGATACAGTGCTTT